AGAATAACATTTCTACCGGTGTTACATTATCTTCATTGGCCCCAAACTAGCTCTGTTTGTAAGTTTTACAAATTGTACAGTAATGACCAAAGTTATGTGGACACTTCTCCAAATTGAGCTACAGCATACAAAGACATTTTAGATATTAGCACTCTTCTAACTATGTGGCAACAGATTGTCAAAGCCTGTTTCTGTTCCAGCATGACTGTACCCCTGTACACAAATATAGCTCCATAAAGATATGGTTTAATGAGTTTGGTATGGAGTAACTAGAGTTACATGCACAGAACTCTGGCTTACCTAGGGTGAAACATGTCAGAGGGGGAGCAGTGTCCAGCGGGAGGAAATATGCACTTTATGCCATATCCTGTATACAATAACATATACTGAAGGAAAAAGTAAAGATTTTATTGAATTGTGACCCACTTGTTTTGTTATTAGAGCCCAGAGGGAGAGGACAGATCCGTGATTAGTCTGGTACTCACAGCTGGTTAAGCAGCCCATATGCTGCTTTGCACGATACCAATTTGGGAGGACTTTGAACACCTTTGAGAAGAATTTGATTGCAAGCCAACCTTACAAATGCTCTTTTGACTAAATGGAAATGAAATGAATTTGACTGAATTCCCAATGACATATATTTATCTAGCATTTAACAATCTATAATTTAATAACTCATATCAAACCAACCTGTTATTCCTGCAATACAATGGATTCAGGAAACATGCATCAGTTAAAAATGTTTGAATCCTTTACATTTTTCTTATTTCTCTGTTGTAGTTTGTTATTGATTTACGATAGGGTGCCAAAGATAAAAGTGATAGACAATACTACTAAAGGCTGCAGTGTTTGTGCTTGTAGAAAGAGCTCAATCAGCACTGACCTACAGCAAATTTAAAATAAACTTTCCACTTGCCAGTGTCTTTCCAAAGCTACTATGCACTAGCTATTCTTGCGTGTAAACTTTATAAAATATTCAACTCTACTAAATATTAAAAAGAAGACACATTCCATTATAACTATAAATGAGAGCTAGCAACATCTCTAGCAATAAACTAGCAACATCTCTAGCAATTATTTTTCCAACATAAAAAAACGCATTTATTACAGTAATTGTATCTAGTGGAGTTGATGTGTTTCTTTCAGCTTTACATATAACAATTAACGTTCTCATCAATACAGTATATGTATCAATAGAGCTTACTCTCTAATGTTCCATAGTCTGTCACTGAGCAATATAAAAGAACCTGCAGTTATAAGTTACTGTATTTCCATACTCCAACACCCATTATCATCACCTTTGTGCTGTTTTAAAGTTGAGATCTCCAAACTCCCTAAATAAAAGGTCAGTTTACTATCCTTCAGGCGTTAGATGGGCTGGACTGTAGCCAGTGGAAGCAGAGATTGTCCTGGCATCAATGGGAGTAAACAGTGCCCAGGGGTGGACTGACCATTCGAGCACTCGAGCACTGCCTGATGGCCCGGAGTCAGTATGGGGCCCCATGAAATGCCCCTGGTACCTTTTTTATAGGCTTTTTTGAGTGTGGGCAAGGACACAGGGGCCCCATGATCCCCTATTGCCCAGGAGCCCCGTCAGTGACAGTGCCCCATCTTTGGTATTAGGGGGAGGAAAAATATCCCACTATTGATGTCAGTGGCAGAAATTATACCCCAATGTTGATGTCAGTGGCAGTACCTATGCTCCATTTTTGGTGTCAGTGAGAGGAATAGTGTCTCATATCAGTGGAAGGAATAGTGCCTCAAGGGCCAGATAAAGGCATGAAAAGGGTTGCATCAGGCCCTAGGGCACAGTTTGGAGACTTGCATTTTAAAGTATAGTTAAACCCTAACAATGGACTTCTTTCTTTTGGTCTGGTAAATATACTGTTGAAAGTGTTTGGTATATCTGTTTTATAAGTTAGGTAAAAAAAAGTACATGTTGATCTTGCATCCCTGTTGATCAAAATGCCTGTTAATCTCTATGTAATGGACAATAGGAGAGGAGCAGTGTTCCTAGTCCTATCTCGTCTCCATTGTCCTGTTTTAGAACAATGAGAAAATGCTGGCATCCTAACATTTGAAGAGTTTTACTGGGAGAACCACCAGGTTACAATTAAGGAAAAGTCATGACACCTAAGGATTGATAAGCTGCTGTATATTACATTTTTGGTTTTGATTTTATATGTGCTTTAAATATTAGCCCCTTCCCCCTTCCCCATGCTAAAAGGTATATACATCAGTATTAATATTGCAGAGGACATACAGTACATATTTTCTCTAGACTGTATGCCTCATGCACTGAGTTTGCATCTTTCATGTAGGAAGGTTTGCAGCAGACGTGTAGTAGGTCTGCAAGTGGCGGACAAGATTGTGAGACAAGATTAAATAAACTGCAACTTTAATAGATTCTCCATTCTTCATATCTTTCAATTAATGGATTATATTGTTCTAACATAAAATCTAAGATTGTAAAACTGTGTCTTCCTGGAGCATAACTAGAACATTTGGTACATTTAAAATTGTGCGCATAAATAGATGTTAGCACAGAAATAATTTTCCTCTTTTCCCCACTCAAAAGGTTTAAGTGGAATCTTCCAATGCTTACTTGCAGTTGACAATGGTTATCCAATGAGGCATATAACACAGTGAACAAGCTCAGGAAAACATTTGACACAGTAAGTATGCTCTGTAATAAAAACATTGGTTTCACAGTACTTCACACAGCATTCAGCAGCAACTGTAGAAGCTATTTTGCCTTTTTAATAACACTAAACTGTGCAGACTCGTGCACTTCTGTAGACAGAATGCAGCAGCCCATTGAGATAATGTACCGCTCAACTTAAAAAAGAAAACTTATATTACATATTATATCTTATAATAAACTGATTTAATTTTAACATAGTTTGTGTGTTTACTGACAACCTAAAATTGAATTGACAGACTGTGTCATGCTCTGAAACACAGGTAAGCATGGGCGGACTGACCATTTGGAAACTCGGCCACTGCCCGAAGTCCCGGGGTCAGTAGGGGGCCCCATGAGATGCCCCTGGTACCTTTTTCATAGGCTTTTTTTGAGTTTGGCCAAGGACACAGGGGCCCCATTATCCCCTATTGCCCAGGGGCCCCATGAGTTGTCAGTCCACCCCTGCAGGTAAGTAAAGCACTGACATCAATAACTGCAATATAAAAGACTTTTTTTCCCAAAAGTCCATCTCCTGAATAAGAGCAGCTACTTGTTCAGCTGTGGTTCTTGTGTCTTAGTGACAATTAATTCATTTCATAAGCATAGAAAATTTAAATCAATTCCTGGCAGCTTAGGCCACAGATGGGACAAAAAAGACAGACGCATGTAGAATTCTCATATTTGAAGAAAATTCATCAGAAAACAATGGAGCCACATTTGGTATTTGATTTGTTTTAGGTGTATTTTTTAAGACAGAGATCCAAATACTGTATAGATATAAACTGTTCAATAATAAATCCAGATAATTTATTAGGGAAAAATATGGCTTATGTTAATATGGAGACTGCCATTGGTAACCTCCTTCTGATATTGCTAGTTGTCTGGCTAACTTGGTGTCTAACTGGTTTCAAAACTTACAAAGTCGCTCACCTGGAACAAGTAAAAAAAAGCTGGGCTAACAATAGCATCACCCATGTTTCTCTCTGCTGTTAAGCACCATTTAGTATAATCTGTTTGTGGTGTAGATCAGGGGTCTCCAAACTTTTCATTCCAAGAACCACATAGTAGATTTTGCAAATATCAGCAAGCCAAAAAAAGTGGTTTTATGTAAGCCCCCCCTTATGTTCAGCAGTGCCTACCAGAGTACTCCTTTAGATCCAGGATTGTCCATCAATGTCCCCTCTTAGATTCAGGAGGGCCCATCAGAATCCTCCTTAAATCCAAGAGAGCCCATCAGAGCTCCCCCTTAGATGCAGGGGGGCCCATCAGACCCACCCCCCAGGGTTCCAGGGACCCTGCTACATCCAAGACTACTCATCAGAGTCCTCCCTTCCATCCAGAAGTACCCATCAGAGTCGCACTTAACATTTATGAGAGCCAATCAGAGTCCTTCCTTACATCCAGGAGTACCCAGCAGGGGGACTGGGGTAGGTACATGGCTGGCTGGCTGGCTGGCAGTGGATTTAGTAGTCTCCAAATTAGCAAACACAGACCACAGTTGCTGCAGGTCATAAAAAAATCCTGTAGTGGGCCAGATGTGGCCCACAAACCAAAGTTTGCAGACCCTTGGTGTAGGTCAGCAGCACCAATAAGATATCAAGCTGTAATCATTTATGACCTTAGTGTTTCTTTATGCAAGTTTTACAAAGTGAACACAAATATCCTAATGGTTTCAATAAGTACAAGAATGTCTCCAGTAAAACATGCATATTTTGACTCATTAGCACAGTCTCTTGCATTGCAAATATATTGGGGTTGACTTTCCAAATATGCTGTTCACTTTTACAGGGGAACTTTCCCTTAGCTTAGTTGATGTGGTGAAAATGTACTTTGCAAAGAATACCCAGTAACTATCAAGAAAATAAAAACAGTATGTTCACATGACTGGATGATGGAAGTCAGGAGAGCTTCATGTCATTACTAAGATAAGTGAAAATTACCTTGCAAAGTGAACAGCCTATTTGACTTCAATAAATCAAACACTCTGGTTTCAGTTTCCACAAGGGAAATCTTTACATGGAGTTTGTATGTGCTTCCTCTGCTTGAACCAGTACTTTTGGCCTTATGCTATAGAGTTCTCATTCTTAAAACGGAACTAAATTGTATGTAAGCATCACAAACTGAAAATGCTATTTGATTCATTGTTTAATACTCAAAGTAAATTCACAAATATTAAAATATGTAATGTTGGTTGAGAGAGTTTAGTTCCACTTTAACAACAGTAACCAGCAGCAGATTATCAGGATCAGCAGCAGGATTCAGAAGTGTGAATTTTATTTGGCTGCTGTGGGTTACTGCACTTAAAGTGTTATTGAACCCTGGACCCTGCATTCACTATATCTGGTCTCCCACAGTACACACTACATGGAAATGCAATTATTTTAGAAAATATAAATTGCTAAATAACTTTTCTCATCAGCAGTACATGGCAGTCTTATGAATTCTATCAGTGTCCAGCAGAGCACTGGTTAAAGCTTGTAGGAGGAGTTTTTCATTTTCCTATAGGAGGGTGCAGGGGTACCTCTGTCTGGAAAGTGCTGATTGGCCTTGTGCTGATCACATGCACTCTGCCAAGAAAAAAGTTTTTCTAGCAATACACACCAAACTGAGCATGTGCAGAGTGACTCCACACAATATGTCTTATCAGGATATAAGATGTGGACACTAGAAGAAGGGGGGTATCAGAGAATACAGGATCAAACATCCTCTCTACACAATGTGGAGGATTAACCTCTTAGGTTCCACAGTGAGTATAACAAGCATGCTTTACTGCATAAACAGACTGATTTTACTGTTGTAGGTTTAGTAACACTTTAAAGCTGACCTTGCACTGGCCACAGCAACTTTTTCTTTTCATGCTACCCCTGCCCCAAGTCAAAACGCTTTAGATAAATTAAAAAAGAAAGTCTGCGGGGGTTAGTAGATATATTTAACTTACACTGGCTTCTAGACTATACAGGAGGTGATATCGCCTTCATTTCAGCATGATATCTTGCAACAAGACATGCCAACACAGTGCAGGATCACGTCTCTTGCATAGACACCACTGGTACAAGCTGAAGGTAAAGTGAGTATATTATCTAGCTATTTTTTCTAAGGGTATTGTTTTTTTCTTTATTATTTCTATGAAAGCGTTTTGGCATGGGGTGCATAAAAAATGTAAGAGGATCTTTGCTTTTTTTGGTTTAAATTCCCCTTTAAGAATTTTAATGCAAAGGCTGTTTGAAATTCTCTCTCTCCGCTCATTAATTGGCGTGTCTGAATGTCCCAATTTTCTATGTTCTGTAAGGATTAAAAATGTATTATTATCAAAAAAAAAAAAAAAACGTAACACAAGCACTAACTATATCACACATTTTCTGCTGGAACCTATCTAGTATTTTACAGACAATTCCAGGATTCTCCACTAAAATTAGGTAGTGCAAGGGTAGCTGCAAGCCTGGCAGACTCATTTTACAGATATGCCCCAACAATCTATAAGTATAGAAGGCTAATAAAAAACTAGCTTTATGTTATTACAGGTTCTTACTGTATATAGCACCATCAATTTACACAGCGCTTTTAAATACACATATTATACATTTACATCAGTCCTTAACCCTCAAGGTGTACAATCTAAGTTCCCCAACTCACATTCATACATACTAGGGCCAATTTAACCACTAGCCTACAGGGCACTTATACTCCCTTCCTGCCCAGGCCAATTTCCAGCTTTCAGCGCTGTCGCATTTTGAGTGACAATTGCGCGGTCATGCAACACTGTACCCATATAAAATGTTTATCATTTTTTTTGTGACAGATAGAGCTTTATTTTGGTGGTATTGAATCATCTCTGGGTTTTTTATTTTTTCTTAAACAAACCAAAAACCACTAAAAATTTTGAAAAAAAAAGTTTTTCTTAGTTTTTGTTATAAAATTTTGTAAATAAGTGATTTTTCTCCTTCACCGATGTGCGCTGAAGCTGCAGTGATGGGCACTGATAGGCTGCACTGATAGGTGGCACTGATGGGCACTGATGATGAGGCACTGGTAGATGGCACTGATGGGCATTGACAGGCATCACTGATGGGCACTGAAAGGCAGCACTGATACATGGCACTGATAGGCGGCTCTGACTTGCACTGATTGGCAGCACTGATTGGCATTGATAGATGGCACTGACTGGCACTGATGGGTGACACTGAAAGGCAGCTCAGATGGGCACTGATATGTGGCATTGATGTGCACTGGTAGTCACTGATATATGGCATTGATGGGCACTGGCTCCATGCACTGATGGACACTGACAGGTGGCACTGCTGGGGCTACACTGATCATCAAGGCACACTGATCATCAGTGCCCTGATAATCAGTGTACATGTCCCCTCCGCGGAAAGCCAATTACCGGCTCTCCTCTCCTCTCGAGCGGTCAGAGTGACCGCTCTAGAGGAGAGAAATGCAGATAACCGGCATTTCCGTTTACATGTGATCAGCTGTGATTGGACACAGCTGATCACATGACCGAGCCAAAATCTTCGGCTCTTTCCTTGAATGGTGATCCACTGTGTCAGAGGTACACAGCGCACCGCCGATCGCTGCGCTGCGCACTCCCTGAGCCGCGCATGTGCGGAAAGAATGGGAGGGACGTCATATGACATCCTCCCAGAAGAAGAGAACCACCTTGCGTCCGTCATATTACTATATGGTGGGCGGGAGGCGGTTAAACAGGAGCCAATTAACCTATCAGCATGTCCTTGGAGTGTGGGAGGAAACCCACACAGACACAGGGAGAAAATACAAACTTTCTGCGTAGGTAGTGCCGTGGTTGGGATTCAAACCAATGACCCTAGTGCTTTCAGGTGGAAGTGCTAACCACTTAGCCACTGTGATGTAACTTAACTGAATAAGGGTATAAGGCACACAAGGGATCTTGATAGACCTTAGTATCTGCTGCAAAAAGGTATCTGGAACAATTACATTGTTGACAAACACAACTGTCAAAGTGTCATTATCTTCTATGAAGAACACTGGTCTAAATAAAAACTTTGTAAAAATAGCAATGTTGTAAAACTGATGATTGGATTTAGGATGTGGTTGTTCATGGAGGTCTAGGGGTTTGGCTGCAAAAGACTGGTTAAAGATCCATGGGGAGAATCAAGGTGTCCATCAGAAAAGAGAGAGGTGGGAGAGCCCTTGTAGTGTAGTAAAGGACTCACATTTAAAGATTACCTCAAAAAAAGTTATCCATAGGATAAAAGAGAAAATTACTTAAAACATGCATCTTCTGAGGTTGCAATAACTCTGTAGGGTAGAAACAGGCAACCTTCTGTAGGCGCAGGTGGAGAATACTATGTCCCCATGAAGGATTAAATAGGTCACTCTTGATGCCACAAGGGTCCCAATCCTAGATCCTCTGCAGGTTTCTAAGACAGGTGCTGAACTAGGTGAGTTGGAAGAGGTCCAAAAAGGCCCATCAGTGGTGTGAGCAGCACAGACATCATGCTTTTTATAGACCTCTTTTAAATCACCTAATATGCAGTTTCTCTGTTCTCTCAAACTTGGGGCGCTTGTTCACTGAGTCAGTTATAAGTAAATAAGAAATGGCACCAATTAGGCGGGATTTACTAAAATTGGTGCACACAGAAACTGGTGCGGCTGTGCATAGTAACCAATCAGCTTTTAACTTCTGTTAAGAAGCATTAACAGAAATGTTATTATATTGAAGAAAATGTGGTTTGCCTGAAAACAGAAAACAAATGCAGCAGCCACATCTAACCACCAGTTAGCTGCAATATATTAAAGCTGTATTAAACCCAAAACAAAAATTTTTATAAATTACAGCTTACCAATCCTTAGATGTGGTGGCTGCAATTAGGTTTTTTTTTAGGCTTTTGCCCTCTGTTTTGATGATCTGGCCAGTAACACGCCTCCTGTATTAGATTACCCCATTCTGGATGAAGGAGCACAGGGGTACCTTTGGACAACAGCATCGTCAGTCTAGGGCAGTGATGGCGAACCCGTGGCAGCATGCCACAGCCGGCACGCCGAGCCTTATCTGTGGGCACGCCAGGAGAATACCGTATTTTTCGCTCCATAAGACGCACTTTTTTTCCCCCAAAAAAGGGGGAAAATGTCAGTGCGTCTTATGGAGCGAATATAGAGCGGCCGGTCCGGTATTTCCACCGCCGCCGTGTCAGAATACCGGGCCGGCCGCTCAGCTCTGCAGTGGGACCGTACCTGTCCCTCTATCCAGCGGCGCGCTGTCTTCCCGGCTTCTGTAGTGTGCGTACAGCCGGGTCCCAAGTGCGCATGCGCAAGAAGCAGTGCTCTTTGTGAATGGTAAGGCGGTACCTGGGACACATGACAGATCCCAGAAGCCGCCGGACCAATCACAAAGCGCAGCGCTTCTCGCGCATGCGCACTGGGCATTTGTCCGACAAGCGCCCACACTACAGAAGCCGGGAAGACAGCGCGCGGCTGGATAAAGGAACAGGTAAGATAAAAAAAAACCTCTGCGGAAGTAAGAGCGGGTACCTGTCAAATTCAGGTACCCGCTCCCCCTCCCTCCCCAAAGCTGCAGTCATCTGTACTGTCCGCAGTCTCTGGTCATCCCTGTGCTTTCCGCAGTCTCTGGTCATCTCCTGTACTGTTCTCTGGTCATCCCTGTACTCTCCGCAGTCTCTGGTCATCCCTGTACTGTGTCCGCAGTCTCTGGTCATCCCTGTACTGTCCGCAGTCTCTGGTCATCTCCTGTACTATGTCCGCAGTCTCTGGTCATCCCTGTACTGTCCGCAGTCTCTGGTCATCCCTGTACTGTCCGCAGTCTTGGTCATCTCCTGTACTGTGTCTGCAGTCTCTGGTCATCTCCTGTACTGTGTCCGCAGTCTCTGGTCATCTCCTGTACTGTGTCTGCAGTCTCTGGTCAAACACTATGTCCGCAGTCTCTGGTCATCCCTGTACTGTGTCCGCAGTCTCTGGTCATCCCTGTACTGTGTCCGCAGTCTCTGGTCATCCCTGTACTGTGTCTGCAGTCTCTGGTCAAAATAGTCTCTGGTCAACTGTGTCTGCAGTCTCTGGTCATCCCCTGTACTATGTCTGCAGTCTCTGGTCATCCCTGTACTGTGTCTGCAGTCTCTGGTCATCCCTGTACCGTGTCCGCAGTCTCTGGTCATCCCCTGTACCGTGTCCGCAGTCTCTGGTCATCTCCTGTACCTTGTCCGCAGTCTCTGGTCATCCCTGTACCGTGTCCGCAGTCTCTGGTCATCCCTGTACCGTGTCCGCAGTCTCTGGTCATCCCTGTACCGTGTCCGCAGTCTCTGGTCATCCCTGTACTGTGTCCGCAGTCTCTGGTCATCCCTGTACTGTGTCCGCAGTCTCTGGTCATCCCTGTACTGTGTCCCCAGTCTCTGGTCATCCCTGTACTGTGTCCGCAGTCTCTGGTCATCCCTGTACTGTGTCCGCAGTCTCTGGTCATCCCTGTACTGTGTCCGCAGTCTCTGGTCATCCCTGTACTGTGTCCGCAGTCTCTGGTCATCCCTGTACTGTGTCCGCAGTCTCTGGTCATCCCTGTACTGTGTCTGCAGTCTCTGGTCATCCCTGTACTGTGTCCGCAGTCTCTGGTCATCCCTGTACTGTCCGCAGTCTCTGGTCATCCCTGTACTGTGTCCGCAGTCTCTGGTCATCCCTGTACTGTCCGCAGTCTCTGGTCATCTCCTGTACTGTCCGCAGTCTCTGGTCATCCCTGTACTGTGTCCGCAGTCTCTGGTCATCCCTGTACTGTCCGCAGTCTCTGGTCATCCCTGTACTGTTAATTAGTTTGCACTACTGTACGATTGTTTTTTCTAAACCAAAAGCTCGATATTCAGGTTTCATTGCAGTGTTGGCACTTTGAAAGAAATAAGTTGGTTTTGGGTTGCAGTTTGGGCACTCGGGCTCAAAAAGGTTCGCCATCACTGGTCTAGGGGGTAGGGGAGTGTTAGATGTACTAGCAGATTTACATACACTAACAACTTGAAGTCAAACTCCAGCTCAATGCAGTACTACAAGAATTTGCAACAGCTAAAAGTTTTCCACAAATAAATAAAAGCTGATCATTGTAAGCATCCCTATCAGTAATATATTGTTTGTGTCATCTCTGCAACTTTGCATTCTGCTGAAGAGCTTGCTTTGTCAAAAAACAACAGACTTAGTGGCTGGATCACCATATGAAAATAAAGGAAAGAAAGTCTAAAAAGAGATAATCAATGCAGCCATTACATCTAAGAATCGTGTATATATATATATATATATATATATATATATATAATTTTTCAGCTGTGCACTCACTGCAGCGATTCGCCTGGAGAACAACTATAGTTTAAAGTCAAAGTGGTCCCAAAGTTCTTAAAATAACTGTATAATATTTTTTTTACCATTAGAATATTCCATAAAAGGGCCTATACCAATGGCCTTTGGGCTTATTTGGATGGCTGCAGTTTGATATCAGCATGAGATGCTTTAGAGATCATTCCACATACCTCAAAAAGGTTTTGCATTCCCATAAACTGTGTTCAAATGCGTATTTTACCTTCAAAGCTTACATGTACAATAAAATATTTTAGGTTTAACAACCATTTAACAAAATCTTATAATGGTTCTGATCATTCAAATCATATGCGGTATCTATATCATAGCAACATATGTCATTATTGTATTTTTTTCATATTTTTACTAATCTGAGTCAAGATAAAACCTTTGCACATAATAATGTTATGATCCTCAATTAGAGGATATTAGTGCTCATTATATGTAATTTTTAGCACTGCACTGGAAATCTGGTAGTGGAAGTTGTAGTATGACCAGGGGCAAACTGACCATTGGGGAACTCGGGCATTGCCCAAGGGCCCGGGGTCAGTAGGGGGCCCCATGAGATGTCCCTGGTACCTTTCATAGGCTTTTTTGGGTGTGATTTGAGTGTGGCCCCATGATCCCCTATTGCCCGGGGGCCCCATGCGTTGTCAGTCTGCCCGAGTATGACCCTATTAAAGATATGTTTTCTATCTATGTATCTATCTATCTATGTACCTATCTATCTATCTATCTATCTATCTATCTATCTATTATCCATCTTTTGTATCTATAGCTCACTATATTCAGGCAGTCAAAATAAAGAATATTTTTAAATAAATAAGAATATAGGTAAAAAAAATATATATAGGTAAATAAACCTATACTCTATATGTAAAGAACTCTGTTACCAGAAAAGATGGACCTTTGAGTGTACAAGTTGGTATCAAAACATTTTAAGGCTAGTTTTGTAACTCACCAACAGATGGCAGCACAAGGCTGCACACACAGTCACAGGGAGCACCAACCATCATACGTCAATGCGCCAAAAGACATCCTCCTGTGTATATCTAGAACTGTAAAACTGGTGCTATTCTGACCACGTCTGCTATTTCATCATGGACAGCACGTTAGAACACAGAGCATACATGAAACTGGGCAAATCTGCTACAGAGACATTTGACATGACTCGGCAAGTTTACGGCAATGCTGCAATGAGTCCTTCAAGGTGTTTTGAGGGGAACATGCGCTTCAAGAGTGCAAGAACATCACTGGAAGACTACAAGAGGGAAGACCTTCAATGAGCTCAACCTCCGAAAATGCACTCTTCCCGAAGATGAAGATCCAGCTTAAAAGTCGCTATTTTGACAACATTGAGAAGATCCAGCAGTTTGCCCAGTTTCACGCAGAATTGCATACTTGCTCTTTGTTTTAACTTGCTGTCTATAATGAAACAGCAGATATGGTAATGCATGTGGTCAGAATAGCACCAGTTACACAGCTCTCGATGTTCACAGGACGATGTATTTTGGTACATTGACATATGAAGGTTGGTGCTCCTTGTGACTGTGCGTGCAGCTTTGTGCTGCCATCTGTTGTCGTGTTGCAAAACTAGTCTTGAAACTTTTTGACACTATCTCATAAGACAGTGTTCCATGGCAATATGAAAGTGGAAAGATATTGATTTATTTGAATTAATTCTGTTTATAGTTTTTTGCAGCATAAAACATATCTAAAAGATCTGCTAAATATACAAAAGTATACTATTGACTCTATTGATAAAAATATACTATTGAGTGTTTATTGCATACACATGACAATCTTCAGGAAACTTCAACCACTTTCTACCAATTTTCTAATGAAAATTGACTGAGCAGATCAATTCAGTTAATAGACAAATATTTCTCCTGAAACTATGAAATGAGCAGAATTCTTGGTAGCAGGGTACCTTAATTTTTTCAGTTATTTTTGCACTCAAAAGATGGTCACAAGTGATTGAGAGTGCCTGAAAAAGTCAACATATTTAGCCAGCAAACAGGGTTACATTTTATTGCTGACATACAGAGAAAAATCTATACAAAATATATCTAGTCTACTCCATTACTGCTGATACAACTTGTGAAGCTTTTTTTATAAGTGCATTTTGGTTCCAATCCAGATTTGGAGATCGCCTGACATTTCACTGTGGGGTAAAGCAATATCACTGTCTTTAGTAAGGTAAATTGCAGCACAGCAGATTATACAAAGATCCGCTTATTCATTTGATTCTGGAGCTATAAACACTACATGATAGGTCCATCCAACAAGTTGCAAGTATACCCTATGCTTTCCTGACAGAAATCACTATTTTTACATGATCAGACACCATTGTCTGGAATCTGCTTTGGATTGCACCACATTTAAAGTGGTTGTAAAAGCTCAAGGTATTTTACCTTTTCTCATCAGCAGTTTGAGCAGTCTTGGGACTTCTATCAGTGTCCAGCAGAACACTGGTTAAAGCTTGTAGGAGGAGTTTTCATTCTCTCCTGATTGTCCTATGAGGCAGCATAACCCCTGGCCTCTGTCTGGACGGTGCTGATTGGCCCTTGGCTCATCACGTGCACAAAAATACCTTTTCTCATCATCATAGAGCAGTCTTGTGACATCAGCAGAGCACTGGCTAAAGCTTGTAGGATGAGTTTTCTTTCTGCTCTAGGAGGATGTACATCCTCTGACCCTCTGTCTGAACAGTGCTGATTGGCCCTGTGCTGATCACATGCACCATCCCAAAAAACAAAACGTATCTAGCAATACACACCAAACTGAGCATGTGCATGTGACTACGGATTCCGTCTGTATCAGGTGGTCATTTCAACAAGAGGAGGGGCAGAGAAGAAATGATCAAACAGCCTTTTTACTCAATGCAGAGGATTAACCCCTTAGGCTCCACAGTGAGTATAACAAGCATGCTTTACTGCATATACAGACTGATTTTAAGGTTTAACCATTTCATTCTGACTTCAGGTACAGTTTAGTTTTTTCCTAAAGTGATGAAAATACATTTTTTATTTCATTTAAACTAAGTTGTCCTCCCTTGGGAGTTTAAAGTGAATCCTTATGGGTAGAAATACAGGAGTTTCAGTTTTTAAAGTGTGAAGATTTCAAGACTGTCAACAAATGTTTTGCTTTTCTATGTAGTGACTTGCAATCATGCAGGAATACAGGAGTAACAACTGTTCAGGCTTCACTGATTGCAAGCATATTCCAGGTTAGCCACTCAGTGGGTAGTGGAGCCGAGATCAGGCTGACAGCTTAGAAGCTCTACTCTTTACAAAAACAAGCCAGCAATGGCAGCTCCTTTATTGGTATCCTCACAGCTGTTCTGTTAGGTGATCATTCACAACATAACTTCAGCTGCTACTGCTAGTACTACTTCTAGCACTCTTGCTACAACAAGCAAGGAACAATACCACTCCTACTACCAACACCAGCAAAGTATAATAAATAACATGAACTCTACAAATGTTGCTGCAAATACTACTAGAAATAGTAGTTTACTATTACTTTTAGTAATAGTATATTTACCAAAAAGAATAAGAAAACAGAGATTGACAACAGTCAGTTTTATTGACTAATTAGTATGTCACATCTAAATGCCGGAGTGTTAATGATCCAACATTATGATAAAGCTTTTGTAATAGAGGTGGAAAAGTAATGAAGATTTCACCTCCAAAAACAATATTGTATAATGGATGTTCCCCATTGACATTTCTTAGTCCATGACATCAGTCTTCACCCTTTATGCAAAGCAGCTGTGATTGGTCATTTGGAACTCAATGCTGACAAACCAGCTAATCAAGAGATGTAAACGAGTTGCTTACTCTTTTATTTGTAGAATCTGATTACCATAGATTTTTTTTTTACTTCTTGCGATCAGTTCCACTTATATATAGATTAAGGCAGGTGTTTTACATTTATTATAAAAAAAAAAAACTTTGAAGACAACATACTGATTACCTCTGCGACTGCATCTTCAACGTATGCATGAACTGATGAACGGGTGCATTATGGCATGTAAGCATGCTAGAAGATCTGATTATCTAACTTTAGACTGCAGCCAAAGCACCATCACATGAAGGGGGGGGGGGGGGGGGGGTTAAATAACTGTAAATCTGTATACTGATAGAAATCTGAGGTTTACATGCACAACCAGTTATGTAACAAGTTAAATGATTTGTTTAATCAGGGCATAAATCATTGCTATAAGTGTTTATTATTTTACGTACTAAACCTGTAACCTGTACAATGTTATTAACTAATTATTACAGCCTGCATTCTCATTATACTAAGGGCTCATTTACACTATTATGTATAGTCTGGATCTTAGCACGGTGTCTTTATGTTGCTTTTTCGATTTATTTTATATGTATAAATGTTACATCATTCTAAATGTTTTAGATTTTTTTTTAAGCAAACCCTTAAAAATATATATATTTTCTCTGTTTCGTCAACACAAAACATACAATTGTTGCTTCAAATAGATTTTCTGCCCTAGTTTCTCCTATTTATACTGTATGTTACATAATAACTGCACACTGACATCAGTTGTGAGTAAACGATGGGAGAAAACAATCTTATTTTGTCATAATGTTATATAAACTGCAGCTACAAAACCCTGCTGGCTCCCAAGTTTAATCAGTTTTTTTGTAACCATTCACTGCCTTTTGCTGAGATTGAGGGAGCTAAACTGATTTAAAGGATGTGGTGTTCGAGTATCTCTTTTCTGAATCATTCCGGATAGAAAAATCAATGGTGATGTTTAACAGGGGTCCCGTAATCAAAGGCCAGATTTCATCTCCAAAAACATCCTGCACTGGCCGTGCTGTTATTTTTTTTAAAGTTGAGAAAACAAAGCAGTGATGTTTAATTGCTTACCTTGTGCACAGTATTGATTCTAAATCAGGATTACGGTACATTAACTGAAAATATCCTCCGCACAACTGAGATGGATTTGCCTTTTAATGTTGCTGCCCTACTGAGCATACATTGTACCAGCAGAGAAAGAGAGAGAGAGAGAAAGAGAGTAGAGGGTCCACATCACAAATCTACAGGAAAGGTCTTAATTATCTCAACCTATGCAAAATTCCAGAAGAAGCAGGTGACTGCATAATCAGCACAAAACTCAGTGCAGCATATCCTTTATAAAGGATCATATTTATATTGTACTGTATATGTTGGTAAACAAGCAAGCAATGCTTGTTTACCGACATATACAGTACAATATAAATAGGATCCTTTATCAAGGATATGCTGCACTGAGTTTTGTGCTGATTATGTGTTTAGTATTTTATTCCAGAAAGCATGTATACTTGATACTGCCATTAAACTAAAATTGCATTAGTGCATTCACAAAAATAGCCATATATAAGGTGTAGAAATCTGTTGAACGATGTTGATGCTACTGACCCTAATTCAATACACCACGATCCATGTAAATAACAACATTACACTGTCTGTATTGTAGAAGCATTACATAGAAAATACATCTTTGATGCTGGGAAAAAATTCAGAATTACCTGGTTGGGAACAAGTCAGCACTGGAGATCTTCAATTTTTTGCTGTCATAATACAAGCAGAGCTGCCTTTTTAATCTGGATCTGGGTGGTAAAGGGCTGTCCCTTCTGTGACAGATATTTGCAGCTCAATCTGCTGCACTGTGAGCCTGGCTCACGACTCTTGCCTTGTGCTGCTTGGATTTGCTGTGTGCTGCTGCTTGCTGTAGTCTGTAGCTTCCCTGCCTCTCAATCTCTACCTCCCTCTCTCTCTCTCTCTCTTGCTCTCTCCCTCCCTCCCCTTTTGTCTATTGCTGCCTGGGCCTTGGCTGTTGCGTTTGCCACAGTACCTTGGCTGGAGTGCCTTTTCAGCCTGTGTGTGCGTTCAGGGATGGACAGGCTCCAGCTTCTTCTGCTGCTTCTCTAATGGCGACTGCAAGCACATAGAAGCTTTTTAAGTGCCACCTACTGAATGCTCCTGTGCACACTCCTTTAATTTCCTTCTTTTTATGTCCCGCAAGCATTTGATCTCTTTAGATAGCAGGTTAGGAGCTAACATAATTCTGCTCAAAATTTGAATGATAAACTTGAATATAACTATACCTAGCAGGGATGTAAGCTGCATTAAATGCACAAAAGCAAGATACAAAGTTTCCACTGAGAGTATATTGTGGACTTAAATTATTGCAAAGCTCTGACCACTGATTAGTTTTTCCCAAAAACGCCAAGGAAAAAATTCTTGGATGTGTAATCGTTCATAATTATATAAAGTAGTAAGTATGCTTTCAATGAGTCAGACAGCTCCTGGATGTTATACTCTAGTAAATCCACTTTGGGTGTGGCCTCGTATAACCACCATCAGTGTCTAAGGCTGGCCATACATGGGTTGATTTCTGAACGATTTTTCGGACCTAAGAACGTCTTGCACATTTGGTGGTTGTGCCCACGATTGATAGGCTTCTGGTCTAGGGTTTTTGGTTTGCTGCAAATGTTATTTCATAGTACGGTCCAAAGGGATGCAAGGGTGGCCCTCCTGCATTGCCCAATTTTGGGTCTGTCTAGGTCTCAGCAGAAATTGGCATCCTATCTAATTAATTTCGGCCAAACTTGCTATAGCTCAAGCTTGGAGAACCCCTTCGGTTGTCTTCCAGGGGGTAAAGACCCGGATGAATGCTATGCTGATCAATAAACAGATGTCTAGCGTTCTTCAAGATTCTCATCCAAGATTCCTTAAGGTCTGGGAACCTTGGATATGTTGGATATTCCTTGCCATCCCTGCCTCCTGCTAGCTATGGCCTCTTATAGTCGTTTCCTGTGCTACCCCTTGATCCGTGACTCTTCTAGTCTTCCTGTCTTCCATGTTCTCTCCCTGAATCTTTCTTTCTTCCTTATTTCTTTCTTTGTTTTTATATTTTCTTTTTCCTTTTTTCTATCAGTTTGTTTTTTTTTTTCCCTTTCCCGTATGGTCTGAGTTGATACTTCTCAGTAGGGGTTTATCCTCTTTGGTTTTTTTTATCGGTAATATGATGGATTGCGGTTGATATTATTTGGTTCGGCTTTTTGCCGTCCCTCCTTGATGTCATTGGACGTTCCATTATTTGGCTAATACACCCTGATGACTTGTATCTGCTTATGTACAGTGAAGGAAAGTAAATTGTTGGCATTGATGATCCCTTGCATGTTTTGCTATTGTTTATTCCCTTTGATGTATGTTATGCCCAAATATGACTCACAAAAACCCCAAAAATGACAAAAGTGATCAGTCTAAAACATAACTGAAATCAGTCGCTTCCTATAACCATCAATAAGGACACCTCTCAGGTTTTGGATTGCTAACACTGGAGAGACTCTCCAGAATAGATCACAAACAAATCCATCAAATTTTGGGGTCAGAAATGCATGTCTAAAATTATGCCCTACACACAAAGCTGATTTTCATGTGCCTTGCATGAGGGAAATAAGTATTTGATCCCCATTCACAAAAAGCATGGTCTCATCTGTAGTACTTGGTGCAAATCCCTGGGGCTGACGGCAATCAAACAGAGTTTTGGGCCACTGTTCTTGGTAGATCCTCTCCAAGTCCTTAAGGTTTGGTGGCTGACGTTTGGCAACTCAACTCTTTCAGCTCCCTCCACAGATTTTCAATCGAACTAAGATCTGGAGACTGGCTAGGCCACTCCAGGACCTTAATGTGCTTCTTCTTGAGCCACTCCTTTGTTGCCTTGGCCGAGTGTTTTGGTTCATTGTCATGCTGGAACGACATGTCATACACGACCCATTTTCAATGCCCTGGCTGAGGGAAGAAAGTTCTCACCCA